CGGAATCCGTACTGACTATAGCCTGTGATCATAAGGCCCATGTCTGTTTCCGTGTTGAAGATTGAAACTTTTGTTTTTCCATCGTAATCATATGCTTTGCTGAGTCTTGTCGATACCGTTGAGACCAGCCGCCGGCGTCCCAAGGACTGAGACAAACTCATTCCAGCAGCCTTAAAAGCCGCAGTTCTTAACGCTTGTATATTCATTTGGTCTTGTTTATTACTTAACCTAATCGGGAAGAACTAAAACAAATCTAAAATGTATCGATACAACATCAAATATATCGACATTCAAGTGTATCGATAGTCAATGCGACATATGAAAACCTGTTTCCAGCACTTAACATTTCATTATAGCGTCCAACACTTTACATTTGATTATTGCGCACATAATTTATTGATAACTCTAAGTTTTCTGAGGATGACCTGAAAGCTTGCTGAACCACAGGAAAAAAAATTGTTTACTTTTTATAATCGGCAGCCTTGATATCTATTTAGTAATTTTTTTATTTATTTTTTTTATTTAAATTTTGTTTATTTCCAGATCCGGTAAATTTAGTAATCAGATAAGGTATTGATACCTTACACGGCCAAAATGCGGGGAAGCAACGCCGAGATGCGATCCACTGCGCTTTCCGTGTGGAGGTAGTATGGTAAAAAGCTAGCGGTTGCGTGCCTTTTCGCTCTGAGACCGCAGAAACGAGTGAAACAAAATGGAAAACCATAGGCTTAATTAAAATGTATGTGTGCAGATTTCGGTGTTTCAATCTATAGCGTAAGGGAGTCTGACACTCGACCAAGGCGTGTGCATCGATTACCGGCAACTCGATTCCGGATGCTTATCCTGTCCTTCGGAACAATCAGATGCCTGAGCGGTTGAGTCACGCCCGATTCATCTCTACCCTAGATTTGAAACACGGATATTTGCCGATGGCCGATTGTGAGGCATGCGCGGCGTGCACGCTGCCGGGGAGGGGTCAAATCCAATGGCGGCTGGTGCTATTTGGGCTACATTCAGCATGTGCAACCTTCCAGGTCCCCTGTCAGCCCTGGGACCGGAGTTCGCACTGCCGAAGATGGCACCGACGGAGGCAGTGGTCGGTGACATCGTAACCGCCGCGGCGCTACCATGACCCTATCTGTCTGGTTCTATGTGAACTTATCTCTTTGCATAGGTCTTTCTCTTGCATATATTAGTTCCATTATGATCCTTATATCGGACCAATATAACATATAGCTACTGTAGGAAACATCGGCTGAAAAGTATGTTCTTATGGGGAAAAATATTCTGTTTTCAAAGACATTTCAACAAACACAGCTTCCATTTCAGATTCGTAGAAATGAATTTGAATCAGAAACATCACCCACCAAATCTTTGATACCCAATTCCGCCAAGAAGTGATGGATTTTCTAAAAAGTGTGAGTTTAAGGCTGATCGAATGGTGCGTTTATCACCAATCAGTCAGTTAAAACAAAAAGTGTTATATATACGAATTATTCAAGTTATTTTAAATAAAATAATGCTTTAATTTAACAAGTGAAATTAATATCTAAAATTTTTTAAGTTGATAAAAGCCTCAACTAAACAGATGTGCCAAACGGCATTTTTTACAAATGCCTTGACATAAAACGCGAAAAGTGGTGATATTGCAAAAATGTTATCGATAGCAGCCTTGTCGATACACTCGATTTAATCATAGTATAATTAAAGAATTATTACTTTTTCCATACAAAAACACACTTGTAAAATATAAAAGAATATTAAATTAATATCAGTTTAACCCAAAAGTGTATTACCGATTTACAATTGGACGAGCATAGCCGCTTTTCTTACGAAAAACTATAATAAACAAAATAAAATATCGCAAAAGCTATCTAACCAATTGCATACAATAATATGTATGATCATATGGTATATACAAATATATGATTAATTATCATATAAACAAATATTTCAATTTGTCGAAAATGAAATATGTTAATGTACATAATCTAAAGTGTATCACGTCGGTAGTAAGTAGTTAAAGTCTTTTATTTGATATAGTAATTCAATGGGCTATTATCTTTCACAGAGTTAATCGCCAAAACTACACAGTATGTATATGTGCATGTATATGGTATAAGGTATGGACATGCTATAAAATACAACTACAAATACACAGTTACGTATGTATGTATGGTTGTGTTTGTATGAGGCTCTGTGTCATTGCATAAAATATGGTATGGACATGCCATAAGCTACAACTATAAATATACAGTTACGTGTGTATGTATGGTTGTGTTTATATGTAGTTCCGTTTAAATCTACATCTAGATGGTTTCAGTTAGTAAACATGCCATTTTTATTTTCTATTTGTCAACTGAGTACTTGTGAACCTCGCTAGGGTCAATATCTATTATAAATATCAAAGATAGCTCCGGTTGCAAACTGGATTTTGTACGAAAATTACGCTCTTTTGTCAATCTCTGTCTTGTGGCTTTTTATACGAAAGAAGTATCCCTTATATAAACGTTGACCAACTGCCAGATAAGGGTACACATTGATTTAGAGTGCGGACTAGGCTGCCCTCGCATGGAATATGATGGAAATTCTGACAAGATTAGCTAATACCCTGAACCCGTCTACAAAACTATATATACATATATTCTACCATCTCAGATACAAAACACAGATTATACATATTTCAGTATTGAATTCATTCTCCCAAAATCCAAACAAAAAATTGGGAGTTCCCGACTTTGACGCATACCTTGAACCCTCTTCTACCAACACTCAATGCAGATAAATGGAAAAACAAGAAAATTTGTCCCTCTCTTTTCAAAGATATTTTCACTCAGCATTAACAACTTTATAATTCTCACGTATCTATCATGCCGTATGCCAAAAAGGGTATTGAATCTTGGGCGTGGCGTAGATAACATTTCTTTTTGTTGTCTTTTTAATTAATTAAATTTATTGTTTTTTCATTTTAGCTATTCACTGAAAGTTGAAGAATTTATAGATGATATCTACCTCACAACGTAAAAAATGATTGGCCCCAGTTCACAAATCAGCAAGATATTATTAACGCTCTTGTTTATGTTAATAATGTTCTATATGTTTATGGATTTTGAGCTGTATCTGCGAATTCATAATTATGCTATTAACCGAAATTATCACATCAACACTTCGACAACGCCGATATCGTCGATGGAACCATCCAATTTGGCATCGGCTTCGAGCAGTGGCCCGAAACCTCCCACCGTTGAGAAAGAACCGTCCTACGAAGATAATACGTGGATATCATGCAATATAAATCCACTTTGTCATATTACGGTTAAGGCGATACTGCTGGATCATACCAACCACTATCTATTCGCACCACTGGCAACAATCTTTGACAATGTGGTTGGCATCTCGCAATCAACGTTCATAACGCCCAACATGATATCATTTTTTCATGTTGGGGTTGCTTGCGTATCGGGAAAACTTGTGGCCTCCGATAGCCTGGGCTATAGGCGGCTTGGTGTACTGCTTTTTCAAATTCGCACGTTCCTTGATGATTTGGATGGCCATGTTGCGCGTGTAAGGAAACATATACGTGGTGAACGCTCGGAGATCGGAACGTCTGGCTATTATGTTGACGGACTATGCGATGGACTTGGATGCATTGCGCTACTTCTTGGCATATTCTTCTTTTTGAAAAGCAACCCACCTCGCCGAGGCTACTCGATAATTCCAATGAGCGACTCGAAAGCGACTCCTGAGCCAACTATTATTCCTAAAATTAAGGCAACTACGCGCAAGGTTGCCAAAAATGTTATTAGCTTTACTGGCCAACTTTTACTAAGCTCTACGGCATGGAATCGTTATATCGCTGTCTATCAGAATATGTTGGAACGCGACGATGTCAACAGCAGCCAGTACCAGTGCCAGAACTATATATTTAAGTCCACATTATTTTTTTCTGTGGCTTGGATGTGGCGCATCGTCAACGTGCATGCCCTGCTTCATTGTGTTTTGCTTAGTATCTTTTGTGACAAATTATGGGATTTTCTACGAGCGATACGTTACAGTGGATATATAATATTACTAGTTGCCATTTGCTTAACTGAAATGCACATATTGGAGGCCCAAAACTATATATTTAATTCATCAGCGTGCAGTAATATCTCACTGTGATTTTAACTATATTACTGAAAATACAATAATATTTTTGTAGTCGAGATCAACAATGCCTTTTTATACCCTGTATCCATAATTTTAAATTGTGTTTGTGTGCAAAATACATATACATTGTGATTGTGCAACTTAGGGTAAATACTTTAGTATGTATCTGTCAAATATATTAATATGCATGTAGACAAAAACGTGCACTTCCAATTTCTAGACAAGCTTATTCCCTACAGTTAATGGGGAGAAGCACAAAAGCGACAATTTATTGCTTCATTTGATGTATATTATTTGATTTATAGTATACTTTTTGGACCTTGACGAATGTGAGAAGACGCTCAAGCCTATTTACTACAGGGAAAGTAGTTCTTCAGAGCCTCATTCATCCTACGCGCCGCACTGCACTGGCAAATATTTAGCAGCCGAGACGTGCCACCCACAAGAGGATGACCATATACAGCGACTATCTCCAGGTGCATCTCTATATCAATGATAAGCAGAGCCTTCACGTGACTATACGACAGGATAGAAAGCGTAGGCAAATGTTTCAGAGATTTAAGCAAATGTGACCCAACAAACTGCACACATTTTTTAATGCTCGGCTTCCCGAGCTGACATATCCACGGCCACAGACATAGACTTTGGCTCATTCTTGTGTTGCAGATTCATCTAGTTTCAGCTCGTGTCTGCAAGCGATCTCTCAATTCTTTTGATTCAAGAGCGGCAGATTAAAATCCGTCAAGCTGAATAAAAAGCACTGTCGTATGACATTCTGATGCTAAGACTATTAAGCTATTCAACCATGAATAGCTGCAAATGTTGAAGTTCGACGGTTGAGATAAAATGATTTTATTTTAATGGTACCATATGGGTAGAGTTTTATATTTTATAATTAGAGAAAATTTGATTTTTCCGCAGAGTTTTGGGAGCCACTACTCTGATTTGACCATGAGTTACCAGAAGGGCAGCCATTCTGTAAAATATTTGAAAAAAATGTATGTTTTGATATTTATCTTAATGTCAATTTCTTACCTGATCGTTAGCAGCCGAGTTATCACCTTTGTTCATGCCGCCAGACCCAGAATTGTTTGAACCTTTGCGATTGCCAGAGTTCATATTAGAAGCGTTGGAATGCCCTCCGTTGTTTTGAGCCATCCATGATAAAAAATTGCCTCCCTGAGAAGTAACTGAAAGAGTTTTTTGTTTGAAACAATGATAGTGTATAGAAGGCTTGCCTGCTGATCCTGGTTTTGATTTTGCAGCTGATTGCCAAGAAGGCTCCACTGATTCAACGCAGCAGCAACCAAAGCAGGGTTCATCGGCAATGAGTTTAAATTAAGTCCAACGCCTAAAGGGTTGTTCATGTTTTGCCCTTGATTGGAAGAGCTGGATCCTTGCGAATTTATGCCTAATGCTTGTAGGTTAGGCATGTCCAAATGTCCCCTGTTCATCCAACCACCATTGCCTACGTTGCCATTGTGTGGCTGGTTCATGCCATGAAAATTATTCTGCCTATTATAGGGCATACCACCTTCTTGGCGGTTCATGTTCCCACCACTATTATGATTACTACCGTTTGTGTAACCCCCACCCAAATTTCCACCAAAATTATTGCTACCCATTCCGTAGCCACCACTGCCAATGTTGCTGTGACTATTGCCGATTGCAGTGCTATTACCTCCGTGTGCATTGTGTTGGTTATTACCTCTATGATGTCCGCTACGGCCAGAGTTCATGTGATTTCCTTGTGGATGGTATGAATGCATCCCGAAATTATTTCCAGAATTATAGTTGTAATTTTGGCCTTGGTGGGTCCGATTTTGCTCGGCTTTGGGAGCGGCATTTGAAACGTGCACTGACACCCCTAATAAAACAACAGGTTTGTACATATATACAGATACATATATATTCAATTGATTGCTTACCTTTAATAATATGATCCTCACCACAGAGAGATTGGGCTACATCAGGATCAAGGAACGTAACAAAACTAAAAGCACGAAATGGTCGAGGTATAAAAACATCGGTCACTTCTCCAAATTTTGAAAAGTATTCGCGTAGGTCATCTGAGTTAATATCCTCCGTGCAACGGCCTACGAATACTTTACATGGCACTTGGTGACCCATGCCCTGTGGGTGGAAAACAAATCGGTTTAAGCTTTATTTAACTCAAAAGTATATTAGTTTATTATCACCTTTGAATTTGGTACTTTCACTTCGCACCAACGGCCATCAATAAGATGACGATTTGAGAGTACACGCATTTGTGCTTCGTAAGAACCGAAACGTACGAATCCGAAGCCCTTTGACTGGCCGGACTTGACATCTTTTTTAATTTGCGCCATGAGCACTTCGCCATAGCCCTCAAAGTATTCCCGTAAACTGTCTTCAGTTGTTTTCCAAGCAAGTCCCAAAACAATCAAATCAGTGCAACGTAAACGTGTTTCAATACGTTTGGTTTTTGCCGTTGAATTTTCCAAGTTATCATCGCTTTTACGTTTGTTTTCTATGGGAGGCAATATGGGGCGATAAGCACTGTCGATCTGTGGGACAGATCTTGTGAAATTTGGTATACCTTTTGGAAACACACAAAAGTAGACATAATCTCCCCAATCCGAATCGACATTTGGTGGAAATAGTCTGCCTTCGTTAGAACGAACACCCCGTACAGCTTTCGAATCCATGTTCCTGTATTTAAGTCCACAAGAACCAGGAAACTGCGCCTGAAGTGTAGATATTAGCAAGGTTCCATCTTCCTCAGCTGGCAGTTCGATTGGCTCGTCACCCTCCTCCTCGGATACTTGTACGAAATCCATTTTGAGATTTTCTCAAAATTCTAAAATGTGTAAAATATAATTCCAATTTATATGCTTTTAAATGTGATTTATATGTTATCTACACCATTCAATCAACTGAAAAATCACTCTAATATACTCCAAATTAAATCCCACATTTGGATTTTACCTCAATGTATACACTCACTCCGAAACAGATTGTTCACACATTGATTTGCCTACTAAATGCGTAAATGTGTAAAAAGAAAAACAAATCTTTGTATTCAAAAATTGTGTTGGGCCTAACTCTTATCAACTATCAACTAGCTGCAAGTTTCTGACGCTGCTCGGTCCAAGTTATTTGCTTTAAATTTTAAACATCAATATTCTATCCATTTTCCTCAGGTGGAAAATTGTAATCTACCTGTGTATTATCTTCAACTTTATATAGATATTTAAAAATGAGCTTAAGGTCCATCTAATTGAGAACAAAAAGAGAAGCTTGTAGTCGAAAAATAAACTTTGATTTATGCAAATTTTTTGTAATTTGAAAACTCGCAGAAACAGGTGTTTATTAAATTATAGCGTAGGGCTTTGATTGGACGAAAATGAAATCTTTGCCGATTTAACCTTTGACCGGTTGCTCTTGACAATTTTAAAATCTCTGAATAATCTTTGAGAAATATATACCTTTTAAGATAGTTGGATGTTTCGAAAGAATAGAAATTAAAACAAAGGAATATATTTATTTATATAAAAACACACACACACATTACACATATACCCAAATACATACACATTTACACATTCATAAACACATACTCAATTACATGTCTTCCAAACACCTCACAGCCTATTGGACGCATACTGATATTAACATTTCCACAAACTAATAAATACAATTTTGAATAGGTGATAAATAAGGTGTTGCAGATTTGATATAGTTTGCATTATATAAAAGGAATAAGGATAGAACATGACAGTCAGATGCAATAAAGACATAAAAAAATATTTGTACACAGATATTTATAAATAGCTTAGCAGTTGGATATCTTGCTTTTTGACCCTTTCAAAGTGCGACTTTATAAAAAGTAGATTTTAAGAACTCGTCGGCGGTTCCATCTTTGGGGATGATTACGAATAGCATCCCCATCGACAGTATCGAGTGGAGGGGGAGTGCAGCTACCCGGATTTATGTACATATAAAGAGCTTAACTAAAAAGAATATTTGTTTTATGATATATACAAGTTTTACAAAGTTAAATACATAACATAATGCAAACAAATAACAAAACTCTGTTAACACAGTTTAATATGTAAGTCATTTTTTTCGTTATAGATTTCCTAATTCGAATTTATTCAATTGACTTATTTCGTTCCCTTAAGTCTTTTTGGCATAAAAGGAAACACAAAAAAAACTGACACGAGTAAATCAAAACGGAGTAAAATTAAATGCATCCATCGCAACCTTTGACCTTTTGTCTTGTTATATTTAGAATTGAACCATTTATATACACTTTCTTTCTGATTAGCTTCATAACTGAACTTTTCTTCGACTGAACAACAAATATATTACCAAAAATTACGAGTTCTCAAGAAAAAATATATACTTAAACAATTTACAGTTCAGTATTGTTGTTATTCAAAAAAGAAATTATTCAAAAACGGATCTCTTTATTATGTGTCCACCCATTACCTCGAAGACTTTGATAGCTCAAATACAACAAAGAATTGCTATCTTCGAGTAGCCGAAGATTAAATACCTTTGTCGAACTGTGGCGAATGGGCTTGAAGATATGCGTAGAATAGGGTAGCTCGCGGCTGCCGTGTTCGCCTCGAATATATCTTAAAAAATTAATAGATTTTTTATGCCAGAACCTACTTTTCGACCAATTATGCCTCTGTCAGCTATATAATAAAGTGTTCCGAAAGCTGTTCATGCAGTACAATATACAATATTTTTTAGTTATAGTATTTATATACATGTGAATATATGCGTAACTTTTTTCATGACGAAATTAGAACACCCTCTACAAGGGTATACGATTTAGGAACTATAAAATAACGATATAGCTGCAAATGAGTTAACAACGGATCCGAAGTCGTTTGAGTAACTGTTGAACGAAGGCTCTAAAAATGCAACAATTTTTGGCTATAAAAAAGCAATTCTGCAATTGTCATCACTCAAAAGAGTAAACATATATTCATTTTTATACAAGTGTGTGTGTCACACATAGACTAAATCACACATAACTAAATCAATTTTGACATTTACAAGATATGCTGTCTTAATATATTTGCAATATCATGGCAACATCCGATAACTATATCACGAAACTCTCTTAAGAAAAATCAGTCCAAATTTGTATGTACTATATTTGGAAATATTGATTTTTAGCCTAATATATAAGTAAAATCTTATTAGCAAACCACTTAGCTAGTATGAAAATGATAGGGACATCTGACTTATATATGTATGTCTGCATGGGTTTTTAATCTTCGGCTTGCCGAAGAAAAGGGTTTCTGTTTTAAATCATATTGAAACAAAATGTTTTTAAGTAAAAGTAAATTTACATGTACCGGCGGCATAGACATAACTTATAATTTAATGCAGTAATATGCACATGTATAAAACGGTACTCGTTTTTACACAAACATCTATTTAAAAATGCATACATGAAATGCACGCGATTGAGTACATGTACAACATGTACAATCTGAAAAGCGGTCTAACGCATACGTATGTACATATGTATGTACCGAAAAAAGTTGATTGGCGATAAGGCTCTCCTATATGGTTATACAACAATTCTTACACTATTTATTAAGGGTTAGTAGTAGCACTACAGATGTAATGCCTTCAATCAATATATGTATGTATGTTTTCAGTACAGCTCACACACGTAATATTTCCTCTTTAATGCTCGCTCTCTCACAAGATTCACACACAGTCAGAACCAGATCGGAGTCACTTTTCTTCACGCTCGAATCTCGACACAACACACGCTAGGTCAATCTGCACATCCACTTTTTAATAAGTGCGTAATAAATATGAAGAATATTTACAATTTCGCTTTTAATAAATTTGAATTCGTAATGTACACCATTTCTCCTTGCAAAAAATGTGAGGATAAAATTTTCTGTATGTATACTAGTGAAGAACGACAGCATCAAAGCTCCGATATATCGATGATTGACTTAGGGATGCACCGATATTCTATCGATGTTCCTTGGTCGCGTTCCCAATGTTAAAAATGTGGTTTGAAGAATGCTACATCAAATATTTATTTCTTTTGTATAAAAATAATATATGGGTTACAGTTATTTAAACTTTCTATTGAGCAACTTAATATCTACCTTGTGTCAAACTTAATAAAATACAGTTTGTCGCCAGTTCGAAAAACATTTTATTTTAAAACAACATTTTCAGTAATACCTACTGTAAATACTCGAGCTGACCCGTGTGTCGCAATAAATCCGTAAGCGAACAGATGGACCCTGAGCTGCACGAAGGCAGCCTTCATGGAAGAAGAGACTGATGGCCGACGCAGGTTGAGATAACCCTATTACTTTGCAGGAAACCTGGCTCCAGAACAGGATGATGTTATTTACTTCCGATGCAGGAAATTTGGTGTCTAATAACCAGTGAAACAGCTTACGCGGTCCAATGAAAATCATATATTTACGTAACATTTAACAATAGTTATATTTTTTACTTCTATATACATAAAATTGATAGCTCTAGTCTAAAAGGTGGGAAAATGCTCATTGACTTTATGAACATCAACAATTGCTTATTAATGTTATAAAGTTGCATAATTCAAATTTAAAAATTCGTTTTGAGAGGATTAGATGATCGTGGTGAACCTTATCACAAATTTGAACATTAATTTTAGATAAATAACTTCGGTTTTTTTTTAGATATCAATGTTAATGTAAGAAAACTTTCGGTTTTCTGGTTTTTCACGATTTTTGTTAATACATATTAATAAAAATATATGTAGTACAACTAACTTATTTCAATACGTGTTAGACTCGTCCATTTCCATATGTAGACTTTTCTCGGTCACTGTGTTAAAAACTGAAAGAATAATCAACAAAACGTTGCATATCTTTCGTGTTCTATTCCGTCATTCCAAGTTGATTTAGGGGATTTGACTGTAACGGACAAGTTCAGTTAAGTCAAGTTATTCCTTATACCGAATCAAATTGTTGATTAACTTTAAACGCCTATCAATTATGGAGCATACAATCCGGACTAAATTTATTCCCCAACAATTATTATATTTTATTGCTGGTCGGCGCTGCTGTCAGCAATTTGCTTGCACATTCCGAACCTCTGAGCACAATATACTGATTAACTCAGCACATACTTTGGGCTTACGTTCGCAAATCACATTAATAAATGGGCAGGAATGTGTTAAGGTATTCAAACCGAAATGCAAACACTTTATTGAAGAGCCAAAATCCTTGACATTGTCTCCCCCAACTATAATTGACATGCTCACACATTTGGCGCGTACGAAAGCTGTAGGAAAGGATGAGCTACCGAATTGTGCGGATTATTTTGGCGGACATTGGAGTGTGAAAATTCCGTCACTTCACATTCCTTTGACAGCTCTGACGCAACCAACAGTACGCCTTAAAACGGAAAAACGTAGCAAGCTCTTGAGGAATGGCTCACTCTACTCGCAGCACGACGACATTCTTGGCTCAATTTATGGTCATCGCGTGACCATGTTTGATGGCAATCTTTGCTTGGACAAATCCATATTAGTGCCGCTACTAATTTTGGAAGATTCTGAATCTAAAAATATCAACATAAAAGTAATTTGCATCGAGAAAGATAACATTCTGGCTACATACAATTGCGAGCGTTTCGCCGAATGTTTGGCTGAAAATATTGGCGAAACTGTGGGCATCCAAGTGCCTCAGCATAATATCATAAGCTCTGCAACACAAGTCGTCTACACAACTGCCAAAGCCTTCATGCGCTCTTTATTTAACAAGAACTCCAAGAAGTTCAGTCAAATTAGCCACTTTGTTATCAATGATGTACACCTACACGATCCTTACACCGACATTCTGCTCTATGAATTGAAGCAAGCATTAAATATGGATCGAAATCTGAGAATCATATTACTTTCACAAGAATGTGACTCAATGCGATTTGTGAACTTCTTTGGCGAAGGCACGAAGTTCTGCATGGAGCCTCTGAGCCAGATAAGCCCCAACATTTGTTATTTGGAAGATATCCGTAGGCTTATTGCATTGACCGATATTCAAAAGGGCCCAGAGATTTACAAAAAGCAGCGGCAAGTGTTCAGAAATAAAAACCAGAGAAACGAACAAATAGATAAATGTCTACAGGCATACGAGGAGATTGGCAGCGATGTGGCTATCCGTCCGTTTCTTTACTCGATCAATTATGAGTCGGTTCCGGTTAACTATCAACACTCGGTTACGGGCAAAACGGCTATTTTGATTGCCTCGCAGCTGGGCAAAGCGAATCATCTTCGATTGTTGTTGTTTATGGGTGCAAATCCATACATTTCGGACGCACAACACGAAAACGCAATAACTGTTGCAGCTTTGAATGGAAACGCGGAATGTATTGATATACTTGAAAATTTTGAGCTTCATGGTTACGTTGTTAAAGATGCCAAACCAGAATTTGTTGATTTTGATCTTATTATCGATCTAATGTATCTTATATGCACAAAGTCTGACTTCTCACCAGGTAAGATACAAAAAACCTAATTATTGCACATCGTACGATCTTCGATGTTGATAAATTGTCAATAAAATATAATTGTTCAGTATGGCAGAGAAAGATTTCACAAACGGTTTATTTAAAAAGGGAGCTCTGATGGGAATTGACCAGCTGGGAGATCCCCTGAACCTCCTTCTAGTAAAAACACAAGCAGAAAAACAGGGCCAAACTGTCGATGATTTACAAACGAAACAAGGCTTCATATGCCACAGAATTCCCTTTATCAAAGTTTCCGAAGATTTAATACTGTTATAGACATTTCCGTTTTGCAGGTATGTGAGACATAGATCAAAATTTGCAAACCCCCATTACTCTGTGAAATCGCATCCGATTTTCACGAGGTACATTCGAGCCGATCTACCCGACATACTCTTTTTGTGAATGTGTACAACAAATTCTGTACACAAATTTAGCGCGGAGTGTAGGGTATTTTTTCATCTAACTATCGATAAGATCTCTATAACGTGTTGATTATCGATAATATGGACTCGTTATGTTTCATTTCCAATCATTTTATCTATGTTATTTGGGGCGAAATGCTCCGTATTTAATCGTCGTAACAATCAGCGTCATTTACACATGACATTTGAAAAAAACGTCTATCGTCAGTAAAATAAATGCATTTAATGCATTATTGGAGGAAAGATATAAACTTCTCTTCTCTTTCTTTAAAAATATTGTACTCGTTTTCATTCACGAAAAATCGTTTATAAACATATCTACATACGCTCAATTGGTCCATCTCTAAGTGTCAATATCGATAAATTTGACATTTCCATTACAATTTTATTTTGGTCGAAACGATACTTTGGTTTTGTGTTGTTCAATTAAAATGAACACAGTCTTGGAAAGCAGCAAGGGAAAAGTTATTCCGGCTACGAAGCGCCCGGATGGCACTTGGCGCAAAGCACGCCGAGTCAAAGACGGTTATGTACCACAGGAAGAAGTCCCACTATACGAAAGCAAGGGGAAACAGTTTGTTGCCCAAAGACAAACTGGAGTGCCTCCCGGCATGTGTCCACTTTTGGCAGCGGAATTGAAAAAAGAGCGCGAGAAAAAGGAGAAGGCAAAAGTAAAAAAAGTTGAAAGACAGTCACCTAAAATTTTATTGAAGCCAACATCCCAAGCTACGGAAGTGCCCAACTGTACAGCTCCCCAGATTAACCGTGATTCTCCGAATGAGTCTGAAATTGCGAAACTATCAAATACATTGGATAACAACCTAACGCTGGGCGACGGCCTTGAGATTGATTTAGCCAAACAAGTCAAAAAATTGAGAAAAAAAATACGCGAAATTGAGCTAATTGAGAGTAGAATCAAAGCGGGCGACATAAACAAACTTGACAAAGATCAACTGGAAAAGGTGAAAAAGAAGCCGGAAATTTTAAAACAATTAAAGAAAATCGAGGAGGAGGGTTCTACTGCCATACTGAACATTTAGTTACTTTTACTGAAAAGAAAAGCTTGTGTTAAACCTAAGTTTAACATACCGTACATGTCTGTTAAATAGTTTTAATTTGTGACAGCTAACTACATACATCTGTTTTAAAAATGTGTGGTTCCGTTTATCTGTTCAACATTTTACATGATTAGCAAGTACGGCTATTTTTTAAATTAATTTATAAATAAATACGAAACTATGCCTATTACATGTTGTGTATACGTTTATATATTCCAGGAAACATATTGATCGTTTTGCCGACTTTTTACCATATAGTAAAACTTAACTATATGCTGTTAGGCCATTTATTGACAGGCAATTTGCCAGAGTTTTCCATATTTTTGTTGCACGAGAACATGGACAAGGAATATTTATGCTCTTTAGTCAAGTCTCGCAAGGAGAACAAGAAGGTCGTTTTAACCACCGACATAATCGAGTCCTTGCCACTTCCAGTATCCTTTCAATATCTAATAGACACAGCATGCCAGAAAAGAACCTTATACGATGGTATCAGCATCAGTTCTGAGGACAGATATGAATGGGTAGCAAAGGATTGTCTGCTTAGAAGACAATCGATTCTTGATGCTGAAGGTTGGTTTACAAATTTGTTAGTTTGCATAATGTAAATCTAAATATAATTTTTAGCTGTTTCTGAAAAACACTGTTTTCGGCTTATATCAAAAGATGCATTCCAAATGCTAAGCGGAACGAGCAAGCCTCTACTGCAGACAATGCATTTGGACAAAATCTGTTTGACTGTCAAATTGTTGTCGCCGAACACGATTATTAGTGAATATTTAAGCTTAACTATTTCACCGCCGCCATTAATCAATGTACACCAGACTGTGCAGTTTCTCAAAAAGATTGATGTGTTAGATGAATCCGAGGACGTGACATGGTTAGGCTGTCGCCTAATAGATATTCCTGTGCCTTGCCAACTGGGCCGTACTTTAATTTTTGGCATATTGCTACAATGCTTAGATCCGATATTAACTGTTGTCAGTTCACTGATCACGTCAGACCCACTGAGCATACCTTCCAATGAAGAAATCGACTGCATGTGGGATGGATTTACCATTTACATTCAGAATCGTATTAAAAATGAACGTGCACGTTTAGCGGAAGACCAATTTTCGGATCATTTAATTTTCGTTCGTCTGTTTCAAGAGTGGCAAAGCCGTTTTAAAAATGACAAGCAACCATTATACCTTACCGATGACTACGAGTTCATGCTCAATGGCCTAATGGAACAGCTGAATTTAACCCGCATCAGACTTGTTAGTGCGCTGCGAGCTGCCAATTTGATACATAGCCAGGGACAATTAAGTATACAAAACCTCAACACCAAATCGGGCAGCTGGCCTTTAATAAAGGCGGCACTTACTGGCGGCATGTATCCCAACATTTGCGCAGTAAATGATAAGCAAATATACCTCAATTCGGCTCAGTCAAGCAAGGTGCATTTGCACTCCAATACGGTACTTCGGGACTTTCTGGAACCATTTCAAATATCCGCTCAGCGCATTTGCACGCATTGGATGGTCTGCACGAAACAGAAGAACAACGTAAAGTATGCAACTGTTGTAGTTCCTCTAGCCGTAGCCATGTTTGCGGGTAAGTTTGGAATTCTATTTTGAGACTAACCTTCATATTTGTTTACTTACAGGCTCAACAAAGTTGGGACTTGGACAGATTACAGAGATTCAGTCGCCGTCGGATAAAAGCAAGATTCATTTTTTTATAGACGAGTGGATATGGCTGGTGGCGGCCAAGTCCGATATCGAGTTGGTGTTGAAAACACGGCAACAATTCTTTAAAGTGTATCATAAATTTCTTAAAAACTGCACCGAATTGGAGAAGTGGCGTAGCGAATCGACCAACTCGAGGCAACATTTACTGCTCGAAACGTTGACTACAATATTTACAAATGAAGACGCAGCTGCCGGGCTTAAAGAGTGTTCCTACATTGGTTTTCGACCCACTCTAAAGTTACCGGCCCTATATATGCTCAGCGTCAATTCGCATTTCACTTGGCAACAAACAGAAACTGATTTAACGAATAGAACACCTGGTTTTGAAAGTATATTACAGCATACTGAAAAACATTATTTTTTGCTTTACACAGAACATAACCCTGGGCAGTTTTACAAAAAAAGTGATGCGTCCTATATTGAAAGTGTCATAGGCAAGTTTGCCAGGCCGATTGAATCACCTAGTCGACATATTTACGTGATTTTGTATTCAAAGAAACCAGATAGAATCATAAGCATTGGCCGAGCCAAAAGTCAAAAGGGTGAATTCATCTTAAAAGAATATTTCAGGAATGCAATCCCATTGAGCGAAATTTTGTAAGTATTAGCTAAGCAGAAAATCAAACCACTTTAATTGCACCATGATATTGTTATTTCTATATAATTGTTTACGTTTGATTTTCTGTTGTTTACAATCAGACATTTTATTGACAATATATATACATAGACATTTTTAATACAATACAATACTATTGCTTTAAAGGCAGGCCTGTGCATCTTTAAATGTGAAAGCTCCCAGCTTTGATGGTCGCCTAGTGTCAATACTCATCGACAAAAAGGTTGGAAATTTAATTATGGATTTATTTGCTTTTCGACACCATTGGATACACAAATAACAGCTAAAGTTAATTTTACAATGTGTTAGTATTAATGTGGTTCTGTGTTAGTCATAGTATAAATATGATTAAGACAAACTACAAGACTCACTCCCCAAATAACTTAAGCATGCACTTGGAATACATTGCCTTTACAATAATTACGTATGTTATGTATTGAGTGAGTGATTTGAAACATATGTAATCTCGTGAATACTTAATTATGTTTTAATATAGTTTTTCGGTTTAAATTAAGTAAAATATGTGTACTTGAAAATGCATTCGATTTCATAATCTTACACAAATATAGAATGTTAAATGCGGTGACTACGGAAAGTTAACAGGTGATAACATATATTTTTTTATAATACATTTGGTTTATTTCTAAAAAAAATATTCGAGATTATTACTGAAATTACATGTATATTCGATTATACGGAAATGGTAAAGCAAATTTACAATTGTTTTAATTTTATCAATGGCACCCACACGACTTCACAATCATATTTCTATACTTTTTCAAGTTGACATTCTCATCGTTAAGATGATACAGAACAGGCAATGCTCCCAGTCGTGTTGGTGCACAGCAGGGCTTTGGCACCCTTTTGGGCTCGAGCAAGTGCACCAGAGTTTGAACAATTGCGTGATTCGTGGCATTCATGTGTGCATTTAGCGGAAAATTGCATTCTCCACTGCAATAGAAGGCGCCGTAGCCCTCCGGCGCGATTATCCAGTCATGCCAGCCCAAATCCTTAAAGTCAATGTAAAGTGTTTGCATCTGACAGCTTCGCGTGTTCTCTATTGAGTTCTCTATAAATGGATTTACCGGCTCGGATTTGCTCTTTTTGCGCTGATGCAGAGTGCTGCGTTTTGTTCGCTTCTGAGTGCTGTGGCCAGATGTGGATTTAATGAGTTCAGGACCTCTGAAAAATCCGATCATAAAGGGCTGATTTTCATCATCCACCTTTGTTCTGCGATGTATTAATCCGATATCATCGAGTTTGATTTCTCGTTCCGGTTTGTTCAGAGCATGTGCACCGATATAAATGCCATGATTTTCGTTTGAATTAACGCGCCAATCATGCAACGCCTCCGTAACATTGAGCTCCAGCCAGCCAACATAGTCACCTGTTGTGTTGACCGAGGACAGCGGCTCCAGCATATTCGGGGCCGATCCTCCCGAGCGTAGCATGTAGACTGTGACAGTAAACTGTTTGTTGGTTGTCGTCCATTTGCCCTCGTTAGAGTTTTGGTATATGCGCAGTTCGGCCATCATTAGATAATTGTCCGAGGGAATATTGTTGACATCGAACCATAGTCGGCGCCCGTGCTCGTGGCGCATTTCTTCGACATTGTGATTGCGTTTGTTCAGGAAAGTCATTATAATATCGCTCTCGTCTATGGCACGTTTGTCCAGATCTGTGATGAAATTCTGCTCGCTTTCATTGGCATCACGTTTCGAGCGGCTGTGATCACTTTTGTTTTTAATAGCAAGGCCCTCTTCTGCGGTAATGCGGTAATAAACGTCAAGCAGAAACTTGGGCGCCGATTTTCTAAGGGACAAGCCATGGCTTCTGTGGTGCAAGGGACGCGCGGCAATGCCCAGGAATTCCAATATCTCATGTGAGACGTCCAACTTATCATCGTCGGTCAGCACACGTTCCATGACTGTCTGATCTTTACCATTATCTATGTATATGCCAGATTGTGTACAGTGAGTATGGGGTGCAGTAAAAATTATTAATATTAACCAAAGCGATGGTAAAACGACAAGTGATGCTGTCATGATTCTTCGCACTATAAGTTATTATATTAAGCTGCTGGCATCTAGTTGTATGTAGCCTAGACTGTTTCTGCAATTGTTCTATTGCGATATTATATTTGTGTAGTTATTAATGTGTACATCGAAAATACATACACACTTGTATAAGGTTCGTCGTGTGTATCTTAATCCCATGGATGCATTTCTTTCGGAAAGCCAATTCTTCACAAGTTGGCAGGGCTGCCACAATGATCTGCAGGGCGTACAAGCTCCGGAACAAAGTTTGCTGGTTCTTTTGCTCTAAAGTTCGTAAAATATGATTTTATAATTGCATAAATTAAATAAAAATGCTATTATTGTTAAACTTAAATTTGTATACTTTTCATAACCTGTTGATATTCTCTTCTATAGAAAAAATATATACAGTTAATTGACAATATCCTCCTAAGCGAAACGAATCAAAGTTCCTCGCGAGGTCGGAGCTAATTATCTTGTCAACTCTTTATGTAAAGTCCTAACCCGAACATATTTTAGTGTACCTTTAAGTGGGAAACACTTTACCAGCAGCAAAATTCAAATTTTACTCAGAGCGCGCAATTCATCAGATTAACAGCTGTTCGTTCGATTTTTAGTACACATATTTTAAAAATAACTGTGACCAGGGATAACAGAAATACCAGGGATTCTGGATTCATTTAAGTTATCGTCAAATGAATTTATTTTCGATAACAATAAATCAGCTGACGTCTTTTGGCATAGTGCTCGAATAGCTGTTTGTTCATTGTAAAAGAGAAACTGTCAGAGACAGGTTTGTTGAGCGAATAATAATACGAGCAATTAACGTGTGAAACTACACAGTATTTTTTGTTAAATACATGTAAATACTTATATCTACGAGTGCATTGGTATTTTTGTTTGTGGTCCGGAAGTGAGATTCTACAGGTGTGTTCCAAGAAAGAGTTTTAATTAAGTGGCAGTGTTTAAATACATATATTATAAATAGATTGTCTTGTATAATTATATGGATAAATATGCCTAATATTTTTAGTATATATGTACACATATACACATTCGTATTTTGATACTATGTTATTAAACCTGATTCGTCATTGCATAGAAATATCAATATTTCGCTAAAAATATAGAAATCTATAAAGTATGCAACAAACATATGTAATATGTGTTTATATATATATTTGATTTTGAATATGCACATATATATTAAAAAAGTCAAACAGATTACACACATGAGTTTTTAAATTTGTATGGCTTGGTACACATATATTTTTATAAAGAAAGGCTTTCAAACCCAACGGCTTTATCATTAACAATGTTCCAAAATTGTACGCACGTGCATATGTATGATGTCACCGTTATATTGTATATATGTGTGTATGTTCATGCGAATGAAACATTAAATATGTTTGGGTGGGTCAGGCAGAATAAGAAGGAATGTGAATATTGTATGAATGAATATATGAATGAATGTATGAACATTTCAATTGTTCATCTGCTCAGAAGTGAATCAAAAATTGTTATGAATCATGTGTGTAGCTTGTTTTAAATATTAATATTGATATTATAATGAAAGATGTAATTGGCAACAAAAATCTGTCTCTGAGCTAATATGAGCTAAGCACGCAAAATGTTCTCTGCATACATAGAATATTTTATTTATTTTTTGATACCTTCTACATGCCCCAATATCGGAAGAAACTAATTCATTAAGTATCAAATTTGTAATAAGCGAAGTTTAATTATTTTTCATAGTGTAATTAAAATGAAAGAAGAAGCACAGTCGAATGTTTTGAAAAGAAAATAGTTGCTACAAATAATATTTCTTAGCGTAAGGCTACCTTTCTAGTGGAATATTATAACAAATTGTTAGCGAGGGAATCTGTATCCAGTTCTAATTCATCCCAAGGGAAATTATTCTTTGTATTATCCTACGGATATATGTAAGTATATATATTAATAGGATAATATGATAATTACTTCAAGTCATGCAATGGGACTTACTTACTAGTTAGTTAATCCTTGAAACACGCATGAGTAATAAAATGAAAAACAAGTGAGAGGCTCTGGTCGGGAGCTACTCGCCTACTCGTCTCGCCTTTTGATGCTGACCAAGAGTAATAATATACTTAATGTGGTCCTTCTGCCTCCTTTCACTCATTTTCAATGGGTTCAAGCACTAACCAAAGAACATATAGAGTAAAAGAATGGGACCATGCAATATTTTGTTATCAGGTCCACAGTCGTCTTCGTTTTTGTTCGGGCTCGAGACACGCCCACATGCTCAGACAGCAAGAGAGTAAGAAATACATAAGATTTGTGTGGTAGAACGGCATCGCTGTCTTTTATCTCGCTCCCACTACAGGAAACTGCTTTGGCTTACTCTCATCCATATGATTTGCAATATGAATTCTGCTCAAAAGCCCGGATTTCGACGCTATTTTACTTCTAATTTGATGTTCTCTTTCCAGGATGGATGAACTTAAGGGTTTTCTGAAACAAGCCGGCCAAGAGTTCCTCAATGCCGCTGGCGAGGCTGCGATGGGCGCCGCCAAAGATGTGGTTGGATCTGTGATTAACGAAATATTTATAAAGAAGGAGGCGGATACCAAGCGAGTTCTACCAAGCATTAAGAATATGCGAGTTGTAAGTGATCAAAAAGAAATTCCAATTATAATTATTACAATATTAAAAGGAAAAGCAGTTGAACTTGCATGAATTCATAACTCATATCTCATATACACTTTTAATATTTCTGCTAATTACGTTTCGATCAAACGATAATTTAAAACTTAGCAACCCTTGCATAATGAAGCTGCCCTTTATTGTAACGTAAGTAATTTAGTTGACGGTGTCCTTTGCAACTCCAAAACATTGTCCTACTACATTCTATCTATGTGTTCGTGTTTTGTATACATTATCGAAGGCATAATTTCCTAATTTCTATTACGCTCTGAATGTTATTTCATCCTAAGTTTACAGCAAGACATTATTTTAAATTTATATAAATGGAAAGTAATTCGTTGTGAGAACTAAATATATAAATATAATACGTATATACCGAATCGCACAGCCCAAATCGTAACAGCTAGGAATCTGACTTAGGTTCTATTAATCTCTATTGTTTAAAAATTTTTTTATGAAAGCAAATGGAAAGTAAATGTAGGTGTCAAAGCAAAAAACTTGGACCCGGCCAGCACGGAAAAGATCAGATATTTTTCTTATATAAAACAGACTTTGATAAATGGTCAACGAACAGACCCAACCGAAAGATCTAGGAAGCTGTACGCGAAATCTGGCATAAGCTGCCCCTTCACAACTTGAATACTCTAGAGCGCTAATTAATTTATATTAACCGGTTTCGGTCTTATAAATACGTACTATGGCAATCCGTTGTAAACTACGTAATTTGAGATTTAATCGGAAAAAGAGTTCTCGAATAGATCACATGAATGCGGCAGATAAATAACTTGGTATGACGCGCTCCTCTTTATAAAGCCTAGGCTTTCATTGAGTTTTTCTAAATTCTTCCAAGTACATTCGAGTTTTGTTACCTAATACTTTCTCTGTATTTAAATTTCGTATAATTTATCAATTTATTAATGTTGCCAATTTGGGATTTTCTTTTGACTGAAGTTATCTTAATTTAATCTGTCTAAAAATATATCAAACATTCCTCATCCTATATCTAAAAGTTTCTTGTTTTTTATATAATTACTTTCTGTTTAACAACAAAAGTTGGGAACAATACTTATTATGCAAAATATTGCATTCAATTACAATAGCGTGTTTTTTAATTATAAATATTCTTCGGGAAAACTTGCTGAAGGAAGTATCTGTGTATTGTTATTGTTATTGTTGTTGTAACGAACGTTAAGACCTCTTCCTGTCTCACAAAACATGTGTTTGTCGTTTAAATATATAGAATATTACGTCTATGTTTGTAAAATATCTATATTTGACAATATGTATGTATAATTAATTATTATCTGAGCCTTTTTTTTATAGCTTAAAAGAGTTAGGTGGTTTTTCGTAAATGTATGTGAGAGGCAGAATGGAACATTTCCAACCTCATGAGGTAGATATATTCTAGATCCCCATCAATATCCGAGTAAAGCCCAGTTGATCTGTCAAATCATTCATAACGTGTTTCCTTTCAATAAAATCGATAGATTTGTCTTTTATCTCTTCAAAAGCTCTGTAAATATTCAGCTTCAGTTTTTTAGGAAATAGTTCAGGGTATCTACTAGTCTGGCACTCCCGACTAGAGCCCTATTTCTTGCTTTTGGTCTACCATTGTGCAGAATTTGTAAATCCCGTCAGATATGTAAAAATAATTTCTTATTCAAAGAATACAAATATTAAAAAAAATTCTAAGAATAGCCTAATAAAATTTTTATTTTTCTAGCTGGGCGAAAACAACTCGAATCTTGGACCGCACTCGGAGGTGCAGGATTATGAAACACTTAGGAATAATTGTTTGACGAACGGATCACTATTCGAGGACGCACTCTTTCCGGCCAGCAATGAGTCCCTCATGTTCTCACGCCGACCCGACCGCTATATAGAATGGCTCCGCCCTCATGTAAGTCTCAAGACTTTGGGTCTATGCAGCTTTTTAAATATTTGTGCACATGCTAATGATTAAATGACGATAAAAACAAACAAACTTTAAAATAGATAACTGAAGCGCCTTACAAATTAAGCTCTGTCTAAGTTTCCTGTATAGATGTGTAATAATTCTTGATTAGATTTGCGTCTGTCTGATCGTTAGCTATATTTAGGAAAGGGTATTTCATCTTCGGCGTGCCGCAAAAAGCCTTTCCAGACAACAATGCTACAGGGGATACACTCAGATTTAGCCTATATATCTGAACTGCTTGCCTCAATCCTCGAGGAATTGCCTCCATCAGCTTCAATCGTCAAATTTCCTGTTGGTTCTCTTTAATTTTACAGCTCTTGAGGATCAGTCCAAATCGGTTTCGAGCCAAGCATCCAGAAATGTCATGACTTAAATCCCCAGGAATGATTTTTCTTCATCTATTGACAACATTTTTCTGCAACACATTATTTTTCGGGGAATTTTCACACAATTATTAATACAAAAATTCGAATGAAACTAGGAAATCATGA